CTGTATCGGACACTCCCAGGGATTGATTTGAGTAGTGGGCCTTGTAGGGAAAGACGGCTTCCCAGGAGGTTCTTTGGTTATCAGTCAGCCTGCCTCGCTGGTAATTCATGAGCATGTGCTGTGTGGCAGGTATCTGTCAAAAGCTTTCTGCTCCTCACAACAAGCTCGTGAAAAGCAGCCTCATTATCTCCAGTTTATTCAGTAAGCGGGCTGGGGGCTCCAGAAAGACCTGCTACCTGACTACAGTCATGCGGCCGATCATGGGGGGGGAGGGGGGACCCAGAGGCCCCACACACGACCCACGGTGGTGTGCAGGATAGAAGATGAACCTCAAAGGAAAGAGCTGTATGAGGCACGTCCTTGGCTCACAGCAAGAGTTGGGGACTGGAGCATTCTCAGCACTGTTCCAGCCTCACGGCTTGGAAAGAACTTACCCAAGGCCACCCAGTGCAGAAGCCAGAAAAGAAAGGTGACAAGGAAACCTCGGAGGATGATCTGTGAGGAAGTGGCAGAAACTGGTTCTGCCTCGGCTGCTGTGAAAATCCCTGGGGTACACTGATTTTTTTTTTTATCCCAGCACGCATCACTTAATTAAATCTGGCCCGAGGCTTTCACTCAGCGACCCCTCTCCTCGAAGGAACTAAATTCTCACCATCCTCATTGGCCCTCCATACCTGGCCCATACCTGTTCCCTAGGCATTCCAGCAGGCTCCCCCTTCTGTACCACCCCCCAGTACAGTAGCATTGCCTGGCTTCCACCTGCCACAGTCACTGTACCGCTGAGGCCACCAGGTCTGAGGGGGTTCAGGAAGATCCCAAGGACCTGCTCACTGCTCTCCCAGACCTTCCTGAGACCATTGTCTCCAGAGCATCCCCCGGGACTCTGTCCCCCAGCACCCAACACCCCATCCGGGATGCAGGCTCCTGCAGGGAAGATAAACCATTTACGTAAAGAATTTTCAGGAAATCTGATCTAGGCTGGAAGGTTCAGCAGAGCCTGTCCAAGCTCAAGGAGAGAGGCCCAATGCAGAGAATTCTAGAAAGAAAGGAAAGGACATGATGGGGGGCGTGGGAGGTGGGGACTGAGAACAAGCCTTCAAGTCTCCAGGGCAGAGGGAAGCACAGCAATAGAAAAATGGGGCTGTAGAGTATGCCTTGCCTGGGAGGCAGCTGTTTAGGCTGGGTCCTCAGACTGGGAAAAGCCTGTGTAAGTAAAATCAGTGGCCCAGATGGCCTCAGTTGCAAGAGCTCTGTGATTCTAGCAGGCAGTCCGGTCTATGCAGCAAGAGTACATCCTGTTAAAGGGGACCTATGCACCTGCTCCTGCAGGTAGCCTAGCTACTCTTTAGGTCACTACCAGAAGCTTGACGTTCCCACCCAGCTCACACTATGGAAACTAGTGTGCCTACCACAACGGGAGACCTTGGCCATGCACATGAACACAGTGCAGTCCACTGCCCTGAGTCAGGGTGGCCTAACAGCAACATGGCGCAGTCTACCACCACGTGTCCAGGTCCTATAAATAACCACGCTGCCCCTTTGCTGAGCATCTGTTCCACACGCCAGAGATGTGCGGTGCACTGACAACCCCAGACTTCCCACTCCCCCTGGTGCTCCCCACCCTCTCGCCTGCACCCCTCTAAGCACGCTCAGGGACAGCCACAGCCATCAAGGAAACATTCCCGCCAAACCCTGTGCTCAACCACTGACCCAGTACTGGGAGAACAAGGCCCAGCCTCCCTCACAGTCTTCCCTGAGGACTCCTAGGCCATGGGCTTGGGCAGGCAGGATTCCACCCCCCCCCAACCTCAGCTGTCCTTTTCCCCAACTACCCCATCCCCCAATGGACCTAGCCCGCCAACCTCTAATCCTCTTGTCATCTGACCCAGCCTCCACCCTAAAATGGCTTTGCCCAGTCACCCTTCTGAGGCCCAAAAATGGACACAGTCATTTATAGAGGGTCAGCTAAGCCAAATGCAATGGGAAGATGACCTCATGAAGCCCATGGTTCTGGGCTCCAGGCACACACGCTCACTACAGACACAGCACCATGGAGGCCTGAGCCATATGCTTCCTGCCTGAGGCAGAATGTGGGGACTCAGCCTAGGACAAGGCTCCAGGCATGTGTACAGGCAGGGAAGTAGAAATACAACTAGCTCGCTCCCAGGTCTGGGCCAGTCGGGGCTCCAAGACCAAGAACCCAAGGACCCACATTCTTTCATAAACATCCACTAAACACCCACCAGAGCCAGAGAGACACAGAGGGTCACAAGTACAACTCTGTCCAGGGCAGTGAATCAAAGAACAGCAACCCAAGACTCATTAGAGGCCACAGAGGAGAGCTGGTCCTGTGACCCCCTCACAGGAAGGACCCCATGACACTAGAGGGCACAGCACACTGTCATTCTCTGAGTCTCCATAGCTGTTAGGGTTGAGAAGTTGGGAAAAATTAATGTGAACCAATAGGGTCTTCCTTCTATGCTATTCTATCGACTGTAGGCTTTCTCTCTCTCTTTCTTTCTTTCTTTCTTTCTTTCTTTCTTTCTTTCTTTCTTTCTTTCTTTCTTTCTTTCTGTGTGTTTGCCCTTGCATGTAAAGGCCAGAGCTCAACAGCGGGTCTCTTCCTCAACTGCTCCACCTTCTTTTTTGAGAGAATCTCTCGCTGAACCTGGATCTTGCTGATCTAAGCAACCTGACTGACTGGCAAGTCCCAGAGATCCGCCTGTCTCCACCTCCCCAGTACTGGGACTACAAACTCACAACACTCCTGTGCCCAGTTATACGCATGGGTTCCGGGGATCAAACTCAGATCCTCATGTTTGTTCGGCAAATGCTTCTCCACTCGAGCTATCTCCCTTTCCACCCGCCATCCTTGCTCAAAAAACACCCTTCTGTGAGTGACAATAAAAAATAAAAAATTTCCCTGTGGCTAGTTTATTTGAACAAGAAAGGTAGGCCCAGTGTCAGGACTGCCTGTAAGATCCCATTAGCAGCGGGCATTGAATAGATTATGGGTAGCCATGAGAAGATATTGGGGAGGCATCCAGTCAGTATACCCAAGCTGTGACAAATGCAGGTTCCAAGTGTCAGGGTGATAAGTAGAAGAAGACAGTATCTAGGTAAGACACAGGGTTTCCTGAAGCAGAGTCTGTAAGGCCAAGGAGAGAGAGGATGGGAAACAGGCTACTGTCTCAGGATACCTGTCAGACTGTCTTGGCTTCCCCTGGGCAAATGGTCCCTCACCAATGCCCATGGGGCACAGAGCAGCCGTGGCAAGAGGCAAGTGCAGACCCATGAAGCCCAGGCTCAGACAAGGCCAGCTGCTGGCTAGAGGCATGGTCCACAGCCAACCAGCTGCCAGCCAAACTGCCCAAATCCTCTTTGCGGGCACTGAAAAGAGAGGTGGCAGCAATACAGGAAAGGGACAGAGCCTACACTTACAGCCCCCAAGGCTGCATCAAAGGGGCCTACTGCTAGAAAAAAAATGCATCTGGGTAGAGGTGCACACCAGCAGGTACACCGGCAGGTAACGGCTAGGAGCAGGAGCTGCATGAAGTTGGTCTTCATGTAGTGGGGGCAGGGAACTTGTCTCAGCTTACACCCAGTGTTTCCATTCATTTCTTTTAGCAGTGGGAAATAGGCTCCAGGCACCTTAAATGAATTACTAGGTCATTGGGAGCCAGGGTGGCTGTATCTGTCTATTGCTCCAGCCACCAGCAGACTATGGGGGGTAGGGGGGGAGCTCTAATCTCTCTCTCTTCCTTTTCCTCCTGGATGGGGTAAGGCGCTCTAGCCTGATCTGGAGATTAGCAAGAGCTTCTCCATACTCAAATAGTTCACCCACCTCCTTAGCTAGTAACCACAAGGATGAGGAGGAGGGCTCTAAGGAAGCTCTTCCCCCCCCCATCATATCACGTGTCTGCATCCTTGGGGAGCTCACAGCTCTCAGCTGCAAAAGTCATTGTTTATAAACAGCCCCAAGACTGGCAGAAGAAGGCAAGCCTGTCCCTGTCCCCACCAGGCCCCGGCCCAACTAGAGCCATAGGGGGCTATCCCTAGCAGAAACACAGATTGTACAATCTCAGATTTCAGAGTCGGAATTGGCAGGGGAAGTGGCGTCAGCAGCTGGCGTGATCCAATTCAATAAGCCAGGGATGGCTAGGAGTAAAAGGCAGGCCAGCGAAGGACCCCCGCCCCCATCCCCCGCATTTCCTGCACAGTCAGGGTGTCCCAGGAAGCTCCGATCCCATCCCCAGCAAAAACCCCAGAGTACTCTCAGACACCAGGAATAGGATTTCCTGGGGTGCCCTCCACACCCCTCTTCTGGGCCACCCGTTTAGCCTGGAGGTCCCACCATCACTCTCTCTCCAGCGGCTGAAACCGCCAAAGCCCTGCTGGGGCGAGGGGTGCAGAACCCTCTGCAATCCGGCGGGTCTGGGCGGGACCATCTAGGCCTCAGGCACCTCCTGGAAGGAGAAAAGCAATCCCTCCTTCAGGGACTAAGGTAGAGGGGCCGTAGGAAGGAGAGGGCAGTGGGCGCCCGCACAGGGCAGTGGGCGCCCGCACTAGCCAGCTGGGAAAGTATAGCCTTAAAGTCTGGGACGTGTACAGCCCTAGGGGCGGCGAGACAAGCTCCCTGCCCCCCATGCAAGCCCCGCCTGGATTGTCCGCGTGGGTCTAGAGAGCAGGGGGTCACCCCCCAGCCTCCGACCCTTGGACTCCAGGGTAGGATGAGAGTGGACCCCGCGTCCGAGAAGCAAACCAGAGCGTGGGCCTCCACTCCTCTGCAGAGGAGCGGCGAAGGTGTAAACCGGTGGGGGGAAGGGGGAGACCGGCTGGACAGCTGCGCCCTCCTCTGCCGGAGCCCGAGTGGGGAGAAGGGGACACCTTAACTGCAGGGAGACCAAGCCCGGGGACTCCTCGGCCGCGACCATCCGGAAGTGACCAGCTCGATCGCAGGGGTAGGGGTGAGAGGTGTGGCAGGTTTACCGGTCGCTCACCTTCTCCTGCGCTCGGGTCAGCTTCTTCTGCACGTTGCTGGCGATCTTCCCCGCCGTCACCCCCTTGCTCCCCATCTCTGCCATCGCGGCGCCTACCTCGCCCGTAGCGGGCGCGGATAATGGCGCGGGGAGGCGGTGCGCGCCGCACTCGCAGCCTCCAGCCCCGGCGCTCCACCAGCCTGGGCTCTGGCTCCACGCCGCGCACTAGAACAGCTCAGGGGACTGACGGAGACGGAGCGTGCGCGAGGAGAGCGAGTGAGCGACGCGGGGATCCAGAGAGGGAGGGACCCACGGGGGAAGGGAGGGGGCGGGGAGAAGGGACTAGCCGCGGGCGGGTCAGCGCCCCCAGCCCGCCCCCTCTGGACACGACACTGCCTTTTAAAGGGCCATTCTGGAATCCAGATTCCCCGCCGGCTGGAGGAGGGCGCCTCGAGGGCAGGCGCTGGGGGCTGCGAGACAGGGACTCCCCGGACGGACGTGCTGGCGACTTCGTCTGGGGGTGGGAACTACCTACGCTGTCCTTAGTTCAGCGCCTCCGCGATCCTCCTCCCAAGTTGGTACCTCCTGCAACCCTAGAAAGGTAACCAGGTGAAGGAGTTGGGTGCTTTCTAAATTCAACGATAATGTGCGGGGGGGGGGGGGGGGGGGGGGGGGGGGGGGGGGGGCGGGGGGGGGGGGGGGGGGGGGGGGGGGGGGGGGGGGGGGGGGATGGATGCCTGCGTGACCCTGGAATCCCTGAGTCGCCAGAGGCTGGGAAAGTGCCCTTCCAGGGATTCCCCTCCCGCTGGAAGCCCGGCGCCTGCCTCCTCCTGCACCCTAGGGCACGTCTCTCTGTCCCTTTCTCTATACCTAGTCCAATGTCATCCAAGCACTTAGTTCTTACCAGTCTGCCTTTAACTATCATCCTAACGAACCTTAACTGCATATTTAATGTGCGCCTAGCATTGTGCTGAGTGATTTGGTAAGCATTATTTCACCATGTCACCAAACAGTGAGGGAAAGGCTCCAAATTATTACCATTTTACAAATGAAACACCAAGAGGGTAACTGCATCCTAGGCTTTGCCACCAATGCATGGGGGCGGAAAGAAAGGGTTGCCTAATCCTGTAATAGGGAAATGATTAAGGGTCATTCAGTATTCGTGAAGATAAGCTTATCCAATGACACGTACTACTTAGTCACTAGTGGGGGAGGGGCTAGCTACAACTTCTGGGAACACCAATATTCCCGGGATACTCAAGTCTTTTATGCAAAAAAGACACCTGGGGAAGCAGAAACAGGTTGACTGTTACCTGAGGCTTGCTGGTCAGCAAGCCTCCTGTACTTGCGGAGTTAGAAGTCAATCAGAGACCCTGTGTCAAAAGGGCAGCTCAAGCTGTACTCTGGCCTCGTGTGAAACACACACACACACACACACACACACAGGATCATGCGCACAAATACACATGGCAGGGTGTTTCCATATAACTGATACCTATTCCCCCACATACTTTAAACCATTTCTGATGACTCAGAATGTCTAATATGTGCAAATATTGTGTCAATAACTTATATTGTTTTGCTTAGGGAATAAGGACAAGGAAAAAGAATTCAGTATAGATATTCAGTGCAGATAAATTTTTTCCCTGAACATTATCAGTACTCAAATGAACTTGAGTGCCCCTGGGGCCTAGCTATGTCCAAAAAACATGGACAGGAGCCAGGGTATGAGACCTATGGAATGCTCACAGTGGACAGAGGAGCAAAGGTAGCTGGGACAAGGTCTCAGAGATGATGGAAGTCCCCAGAGGACTGGAAGCACTCATGTAGGCACACCACCAAGTCCTTGTACAAATGGAGAAACTGAGGCCTAGAAACCAATGGTTCGGCCGGCCTTCACAATGGCCCATCTCATCCCCTGGAACTCTCCTGGAAGTTGCCTGGCTACATCTGGTTCTTCCAACCTGGACTCCTTCCTGTTGTGGCAAAAGGGCAGGCTCAGCAGCTGGTCACTGGCAACAGTCTCACAGATAGCATATGGCAAGCAAAGAGCCGGCCCTCACAAGCACCAAACCCAGTGAACGGAAAGGATTATGTTGAAATTATCACTCTAGGACCTGTGTAGGCTCCCAGGCACTGCAGGCACACTGGTGGTCCCGGGCTTGAGAAGCACAAGCAGGAGGATCCCTGGAGCTTGCTGGCCAGCCAGGCTGACTGAAGGAGTCTGAGTTCCAGGTCAGTGAAAGATAACATCTTAAAAAAGGTTGGCCTTTGATCTCCATGTGCATACACACACACACACACACACCACATTTATATGCACACACATATACACACAAACCTACAAATTTATGATATACTTATGCCCAATTTATGAGCCCCTTAAACAAAATCTAAACAGCCTGGGTTTCTGAATCAGCGTTCTTCTGAAATATATTTTTGCCTCATGGTCTCGTTCTTTTTTTTTGTTTGTTTGTTTTGTTTTTTGTTTTTGGTGTTTCAGGGTTCCTCTGTGTAACAACTGGAACTCACTTTGTAGACCAGGCTAGCCTCGAACTCACAGAGATCTGCCTGCCTCTGCCTCCTGAGGGTTGGGATTAAAGGCGTGCGCCACCACCTAGCTTGATCTCTTTCCTAATTTGCAATTGTCTACCATTCTCTCAAAGTAATTACTTCCTTCTCTCCCTCCCTCTCTCTTTCTCTCCCAGGAGTCTCTTACATCCCTTGACCTTGAACTTCTGATTCTCCTGCCTCAACCTCCTGCCTGCAAATGCTGGGACTACAAGTATGTGACATGGTGCCCAATTATAAAGTGTTATTTATAGAATCCAGAGCGTCATGAATACTAGGCAAGTACTCTACCAAATGAGCCACACCCCCAGGCCTGTCAAAGCAATTTCTTTCAACACTCCTTGAGGAAAGAAATGAGCAAAAGTCAAATTCTATTACAATCAGCCCCTGGGAACGGAAGATTCTGCTTTGTTGGGCTTCTGGTGTTTCCAAATATAGCAGAAACAAAGCGGCAGACATGTTCCTCAGTAGGAAAGGGTCAGCTTTGCCAGCTAGGCAGTGAGAGGAGTCACGGAGGAATCCTTCACAACTGGGAAACAATATAAAAGTGCTGCCCACGGCATAATCACAAATGAAAACACAACCAAAATATATGCATATGTTATCCTTAAATAGATGTAGGAATTAATTAGATGCTCAGAAGAACTATATACATCAAGAAAGAAGGTTTGGGCCCAAGTTCCATCTCCAGAAGCCAAATAAAAGAGCCAGGCTCATTGGCCAGCCAGCCCAGCTGAATAGTGGATTCCAGGTCAACAAGAAACTCTTTCCCCAAAAATAACAGGGACAGCTCCTGAAGAATTACACCCAAGGTTAACCTCTTACCCACATACACACAGCCACACATGGGGCAGGGTGGCAGGAGCCATCCTAACCAAATTAGCAAACTCCAGGTAAAACTGAGCAATCTTGTCTCCAAAAACAAGAGAGACAGTATCTTGAGGAATGACATCTAAAGTTGTTGTCTGGTCTCCATGTGTACCCATACACACAAACACACACATACATAAATTGTAGACATAAAAATTCAAAGGAAGCTATCTTTGAGGACAGTGATTGGGAAGCAACAACGTGATGGGAGAGAAAGCAAAAGCTTGGGACAGAATATGTGTGTTGCACACCTGAATCTAGGGCAAAGGCTTGCCTGTTTCTAACTGACTTTGTGTTTCACAACAGTTTAAGATGTATTTTATTTTAAATTGTATATATGTGTTGGTGGGTGCATGTGATTGCAGATGCCTACAGAAGCCAGAAGAGGGTCTCAGACCCCATGGATCTGGAGTCACAGGCAGGTTTGATCCACCCAACATAGGAACTAGGAGTCAAATACAGGTCCTCTGCCAGAGCAGAACGTGTATAATTGCTGAGCCATCTTTACGTTTGCAGCAAAAGTGAACGGAAGGCGTAGCCATTCCCTGTGTACCTGCCATTCACACTCGAGTGGTATCCTAGTTTTGTTTCTTTTGCTGAGATAAATTACCCTGACATGAAGCAAAGTGGGGGAGAAGGATTTAGTTTATCTCACAATTCCAAATTTCAGTCCATCATGGTAGGAACATCACCACAGCAAATGCCTAAGGGAGCTAATCATGTCAAAAGCAGAACGGTGCCTACTTGATGCTCAGATAGCTTTGTATGAGCTGGTACAATCCAGGGCCCAACAGCAGGGAATGGTGACACCCACTTCCACACTGGGTCTTTCACCATCCATTCCGGCAATCATCCCTACAGACATGCCTACAGACATGCCTACAGGTGAGATTCTCTTCCCAAGCTGTTCTAGGCTGTATAAGGTTGACAGAACTAACCATGACTTATAACCTTCCCCACCATCAACATCTGCATGAGAGTGACCCATTTATTATAAACCTGATCATCTCTTTATCTCCTGAATGCCCCGGTTTCCATTAGGGTACATGTTATGGGCTTGGACAAGTGTACAATGACACATTTACCATTATAGCATCATGCATGCCATATATGGACCATTTTCACTGTCTTCTTTGTTCCAGCTCTTCACCCCTCCCATCCCCAACCCCTGTCAACTCATGATCTGTTCACCCACCACCCCACTGGTGTCCCTCTTCCAGAATGTCACAGCCTTGGAACTTCATGGTACGTAACTCCTTCAGTGGCCTCTTTCACTTGGCGATCCGTATTTGAGATTTCCTCTTCACCGCTGTCACGTAGGTAGGGAGATGGCCCAGTGATTAGTGTGCTTGCCTCACAAGAGTGAGGACAAAACTTTAGATCCCAGATCCCACATTAATGCTGAGTGGGTGTGGCAGTCTGCCTGGAATCTGGAAAGGGCAGAGATGGGATCCCCAGAGCTAACTGGCTAGCGAGACCAGCGGTATCAACAAGATCTAGGTTTGCCTGAGAGTCCCTGCCTAAGGTGGAAGAGCAATCAAGAATGGTTCTTGGCATCCACCTTAATCCCCCCCCACACACACAGGCGTGCACACACATAGAAAAAAATGCATATGTACACAGGTCTAACACACACGGGGGGAAAAGATTCCTCTGTCTCTTTTCATGTCTTAATAAAAGGTGTCCCGCTCACCTATTAAGGGACATCTTTTTTGCTTCTAATTTTGGGGAGTTATAAATATGGTAACGGAAAGCACCTGTATTCAGGTATTCATAAACATAAGTTCTAGACTCCTTTGTATAAATATTAAAAAGTGTGATTGCAGGACCAAATAGCAAGAATAAATTCAATAT